AGCATGATGTCAATGACAACTTTCATCCAAATGGTTTCCGAGCAGATGCCGAAAACGAAAAAGTTTCCATTGTTAGGTAGAGCTGTATGGAATTCTTGATGAATATAAGTTTAGGCATATTCGTTCTGATTTGTGTTTTTTGATCTCACTCTCTTGTGTAATTCTTGTCACTTTCCCCGAGAAATCAAAGGCTTTAAGTCCTAAGGAAAAGGCAACAAGGTAAGATTTAGCTAATCGAGAACTGTTTAGGTTTGAGTTTTTGATAAAATTCATTCAGAACCTGGAAGACAAGACTTTGGCAATTTGTTTTCTCTCGTCATTTTGCTTTGATGGCTTCTTTTCAAGCACTGAACATTATAAATTTTATTGTTTTTCTATCATTTTGGGATTGATGCATAGATATTGTATGTGCTGTCTTTGTGCTATGAATTTTGACTTGAAAATTTTTCTTATTTCTTTCCACCTGAGCAAGTGGTGTTGCTCACAGTTGTCCAAACTAAAAATTGATGTTTACATCTCGTAAAATATCATCTACCTTGACAATCGAAATTCTTTCCAATTGCCATTCCGGGAAGCATCCAAACACCAGCAGCCTGAGCCTAAGCCTAAGCCTAAGCATCCAAACACCAAGCAGCCTGAGCCTAAGCCTAAGCCTAAGCATCCAAACACCAAGCAGCCTGAGCCTAAGCCTAAGCCTAAGCATCCAAACACCAAGCAGCCCGGAGCCTAAGCCTAAGCCTAAGCATCCAAACACCAAGCAGCCTGAGCCTAAACCTAAGCCTAAGCATCCAAACACCAAGCAGCCTGAGCCTAAACCTAAGCCTAAGCATCCAAACACCAAGCATCCAAACACCAAGCATCCAAACACCAAGCATCCAAACACCAAGCATCCAAACACCAAGCATCCAAACACCAAGCATCCAAACACCAAGCATCCAAACACCAAGCATCCAAACGTCTATGATATCACACCTTCCTCTGAAGTGAAGGGGCGGGGTTTGTCGAGGGCGAGGGCGTGCCAGCGGCAGGTTCCGCCCCTTCACCCGACCGAGCTTATATTAGGTTGGCGGGAAAATAATGCGAATTTTTAACTTGTGCTCTTGGGAAAGTAATGGTCGACAAACAGAGAAAACCGCGATAGTAACAGAGAAGCCGAGTGTGTTTGCTTACACAATATTATTCGAATGCTTACATAATATTATTCGAAGACATTTGTTTACTTGTTATCAAAAAATGACGGAACAAAAATTCCTTATTCGAGCTGCTTTCGAACAAAACCCTAAAAAACACCTTTCGGAAAATTACTGTAGCTAGAGGAAAATTTTCTAGAGTTTTTCTAAAAAGGGCCGTTTCAAATTTCATTGGACAGACTAGGAAATCAATTTTCTTCTTATTTTCTCATTAATTGTTAATATTTTTACATTGTTTCTTTATTAAATCTTATTTAACTTTTATTTTTTAGATAATGGGTCGTTGGAAACCGCTTTCTGCGTACGACAAAGGCCAAATTGACGTCCGATCCATTCCATCAGGGAAATCGGATCCAATCCATCAGGGAAATCGGCATGTTTCAAAGCGTGCACCAAACTCTGTTCACAACTACTCGAAAAACTATGGCAACTCAACTCCTGAAAGTCGCCAAGGACCAAAGCCAAAGCTTACGCACTCGACAATCGGCAACAATGCTGTATTGAATTGTTGAATCTTGATCGAAATACGGATTCCCTCCACAGCCAACTTGATTAACCACACAGTTGCCAGCATCAGTCGCCAGCAACAGTCGCCACACATGAGGTGCAGTCAGCAGCACTCTAAATCATTAATAAATACAGATCTGAAAATTTACTGTGTTACCACATAGGTGTCAGTTGTGAGTAAAGAAGAGAGAATGTAGAAAGCCAGACTCTGTTGCAAGGACAGCAGTTTCTGATGGTTGACTGCTTGACATTTACTCGAAACGTTCTTTGGTTTATGTAGAAAAGCGTTCAGTTCAATTTCACTGCAAAACGCCATTTACCTACTACTGCAATGGTGAGTATACAAAACAAACAAAACAAACAAATTCAACTTTTCTCTAGTCAAATTTCTTGAGGATTCTTTTATAAGCAATCACAAGTCGATTCAATTTCCATACATCGAGTTATAGACCGTCAAAGTTGATTGACTTCTGCAGGCAAGTAAGTCGACTTTTGACACAAATTTCTCTCTATGTTCTTACACATTAGTATACAAGATAGATTGTACTTTTCTATTGCCAAATTTCATGACGATTCTTTTAAAACTAACCTTAAGTCGATCCGATTACTGGGAGCCGAGATATAGAGTAAAATAGAAGAGTCCCCAAACCTGAGACTCACCACGGAATTTGAAAGTCCTTTTAGTCTCTCTAGTCCTTTTACGTCAATTCAAGAAAAGTATCAAATTCGAGAAGAATCAAGTTCGTAGAGAAAGAGAAAAGTAATAATTTTTTAGAGAGAAGGGCCAAATTTTGTAGTAGAAGGGGGATAAAATGTTAGTCATTTGAATCTGGAAATTTGAAAAGAGATGTAAAAAGCTTTATTTGGTCCCAAACCCGCCACCCTTACATTAACAAAAAAATGGAAAACCATACAATTAGAAATCGAACAAATAGAATTAGAAGAATCGAAAAGTGAAAATGATCGCTCTAATGGCCCGGACAAGGGCGTGGAGGAGGCTCTGGCGCCGTCGTGCCCATGATTGACTTCTGCAGGCAAGTAAGTCAACTTTGACACAAATTTTCTCTATGTTCTTACACATGAGTCTACAAGATAGATTGTACTTTTCTATTGCCAAATTTCATGACGATTCTTTTAAAACTAACCTTAAGTCGATCCGATTACTGGGAGCCGAGATCTAGAGATCACAGAACTTCTCTTTTCAATTTTGCCTCATCCATACCGATGAAACTAAATTCGATTTGGATTTCGGACAAAATCACCATCGGAACATCGGTCACTATTGAGAATTGATCCATGATGTTAAAAATTAAATTATATTGATAATGTTGATTGTGATTGATTGATTGACAATGCTAAAGTACCGAAGTAAACAGTTCAGCCAAGAGACATTTTACTTTTTCTCTTCCAAAATGTTCGATGCCAACAATTCATTTTGGAATTGGAATTGAAGTGAATCTTTGCTGTGAATCAAATCACGAAATTCTAGTTGTAAGAGTGCGAAACTCAATGAGTGAACAAATAGGCATTTCTGGCCTCTTTGGGCACCACTCGAGTTTCATTCTTTGCTCTTTGTATTTGATGTTCCTTGCGTTTTCTATATTTATTTTATTTTTCATTGAGATTCATAATGGTGATAACAATATGCAAATCGATTTTCAAGAGTTCGGAGTTACCGGTAAGTGGGTACATAAAGAAAGATTGAGTTCAAAGCCTACGGGAAAAGTTCTTACGGCATCTCTGATCTTTACGGCGGCACCTTTGATCTTTCCGAGTCTTTTCGGTTTCGAGTAAACGACTGCATCGACTATTTGTCTAGATTTTAGCACTTCATAATGCACCAATCCTTTCGAATTCCACCATAAAGAAAGCATGATCTTCAATCCATGGACATCGGTCTTGGAAGTGGTTTGCGGGGCTTTACCAGCAAAGATCTATTGATTTCTGTTAGAGTGACATTGTCATAACTGATCCCAGTCTCATCAGAAGTCAAGAGTCTGTCGAAAAATCGTGTGATTTGCACTTTTGAAGCAAAATGGAGCACACGATGACACAAAATGGAGCACACGATGCAAAATGGAGCACACGATATTTTGTTACCTTGGGTCAGCTCATGTGAAACCCATTTTCCATGTCGAACCTTTTTCCCAAGTTGATGCAAATGGTTTTCAATTGTCACATCGCTTTCCCAAGGAGCGTACTTTTTCTCAAACTTTCTCGGAAAGTTCCGGTGGAAAGTTTTACCGGAAACTTTCTGGAAGAAAAGTACGTTAAAAGTACGTTAAGAACGTGGACTATGGACGTTTTACTGGAAAGATCAAAGGTGCCGCCGTAAAGATCAGAGACACCGCCAAAGCTTTTCCTGGAGCGTAGCGTAGGGCTCAGCTTGGTGAGATTTACAACAAAGCAAGCATTTTGAAAGGGTCCAAGTGCTAGAAACAGCGCAAAGTTCATTTCTTTGAAGTCTAACTTATACTTTTTTATCAATCTTTTCTTAGCAAACTACTCGCTTTCTTTAAATGGAGCGAATCGAGTTTTCAACGAGATTTTCACAAATCGAAACTATCACAAAGAGTTAGCTCCAATGGATACATCGCTGAAAAAAGACTCGCCAAGTTTGTTAAAAACTTAATTTAGTACATAAACATAAACATAAACATAAACATAAACATAGACATAAACATGAAATTCAGAAAAGTCCCGACTCCAAATTGAGATCACAATCCAGCTTCTCTACATCTTCAATTTGGTGAGTAAAACTAGTCGCAAAGGTTGAAAAAAATATAGGATATGGCTCAACAATACTTGTCAACATACATCGAACTAGCATTAACATGGCAGGATGTGAGATTGGCATGGAAACCTGAGAATTTTGATGAAGTGTCAACTATTTGGGTTCATTGCGATCAAGTGTGGACTCCTGAAAATATTGTTGATAATGTGTGAGTTCAGAAAAGCTGAACAAGGTTTCAAAATGGATAAATAATGTTCAAGAACTATTAAGAACAACTAGAGGAGCTATAGGTCAAGAGCTATAGGTCAAGAGCTATAGGTCAAGAGCTATAGGTCAAGAGCTATAGGTCAAGAGCTATAGGTCAAGAGCTATAGGTCAAGAGCTAGAGGTCAAGAGCTAGAGGTCAAGAGCTAGAGGTCAAGAGCTAGAGGTCAAGAGCTATAGGTCAAGAGCTATAGGTCAAGAGCTATAGGTCAAGAGCTATCACAACCAGCTTATAGGTCAAGAGCTATCACAACCAGCTATAGGTCAAGAGCTATCACAACCAGCTATAGGTCAAGAGAAAAGTTCAGCTTCTCAATCACAGAGATTTTCCCGGAACGTTTTCGACAATGTATTCTTTATTCAAATGGAACAGTACAATATGATATGGTTCTTCTCGTTCAATCTGTTTGCTCGATGAATGTATTTTTGACTTTATGTAAAAATGAAAGAATATCTATTTCAGGTGGAAAGATTCCCATTCGATCGACAAAATTGTTCACTTCAATTCAACTCGCACACCTATGATCCATATAGAATAAATGCAGAAGGACAACTCTCTACAAAGTATCCCCTTGAGGCTTCAGCAACGGTTAGCCAAGGCAAAAACTAGAAACTAGATGAAACTAATGACTAGAAACTAGAAATAATGACTAGAAACTAGAAATAATGAAACTAGATTGGTAAAACTAGATGTACAACAAAAGCAAACCTGTACAGGATGCCCCAAAATTATGTAGCGGAAATTCGATCATTGAACTTTTGTTAATTTTCAAGAAATTTTTATAAATACCTTAAAAATCATTTAACAATCATTGAACATAACAAAAATATAACATTATTCTTCAAAGTAGCCTCCTTTAGCTTGAATACATTTTCGTAATCGTTTCGGAAAGTCATCCATAGCCTTTTTGATGTTTCGGAAAGTCATCCATAGCCTTCTCCATATCAAAGTCGTCCCAAGCTTTCTCCAAATCCTTCTTCAAAGGCTGAATTGATGTATGGAGCTTGCAACAAGCCTTGGACTGCATGATCGACCAAATGCTGTAATCCAAAACATTCAAATCCGGCAAGTTGGATGGTCATTCTCTAGGATTTTGCGTGCTTATGTCAACTGTGATCCAATCAGGAAAATTCTTTGCGATTCAATCTTGCGTTTCTCGAGTTTTATGCGATGAAGCTCCGTCCTGCTGAAATACTCAGGGCTTATTTTTGATGGCCTTTTTGATGTCATCTATGGCCGTCTCCATATCAATGTCGTCCCAAGCTTCCTCCAAATCCTTCTTCAAAGACTGAATTGATGTGTGAGGCTTGCAACAAGCCTGGAAATGCAAGATCAACCGAATGCTGTAATCCAAAACATTTAAATCCGGCAAGTTGGATGGTCATTCCCTAGGATTTTGCGTGCTTATGTCAACTGTGATCCAATCAGGAAAATTCTTTGCAATCCAATCTAGTTGCAATCGAGTTTTATGCGAAGCTCCATCCTACTGAAATACCCAGATCTTATTTCCGAAGTGCTGACTCCAAGGCAAAATTTCTGTTTTCAACATGTTCAGATATTCATCCTTGTTGACTTTGACTCCAGCTGGGATAAAAAGCAGAGGCGTCTTCCCGGTGTACGTAACACCCATCCATACCATCACTTGTTGAGATTTCTGTTGCCGTGAGATAACACGCTGATCAAGCGGGAGTGGGTCCTTTGACCTAGTCCTATCGTTTTGATGGTTATGAGTTTGTTCGATGTCAAATCACTTCATCGGTAAAGAGGACCCACGATGATGATTCGCTACAAAGCGTCTCAAAAGTTTCTTGCACGATTCCACTCTCTTTTGATTCATCTGATCGTTTAAGTAATGTCCGATTACATTTTTTCGTGCTTTCATTCCGTGTTTTTTGAGAATTCGGTGACCTATGGTCTTTGAAAATCCAATTGCAGCAGCTATCTTTCGGGTGGAGTTTTTCTGTGATCTCGGATTTCTTTGGATTCGTTGAAAGATCTTTCGATGACTGATTGGATTGTTGGCAATCTTCTGATCGATCGTCCTGGTCGTCCTGATCGTCCTACTCGATCGTCTTGATCGTCCTACTCGATCGTCTTGATCGTCCTACTCGATCGTCTTGATCGTCCTGATTGATCTCCCAATTTTCCAGTTTCTTTGTGGCGCTTGGTTGCTTTTAAAACTGTCTGGTGAGGCACGTGCAAAAGCCGCGAAATCTTCATCACCGATTTGCCATCCTGTGAGAGTTGAACCATGGCTGATTGCAAATCCAATTGTGTTTTTGGTCCTGAAAAAAGCCAGTACAAAAGAATTTTAGTTATAAGTAAGAAAAAGGACAAGATAAAACAATAAATCTGTCAAAACACCCTGTAGAACTTTTAACTTTGTGCTCAAAATTTGATCCCGAATAAACATGGGAAAATTCCAACCGGAACCTAATTCCACCTTCGTTTTCTCGGCCGTTTCTTGGCCGATTGCTCTGGAATTTTGTCTACAGAGAGAAATCAAAATTTTCCGCTTGTAGACAAATCAAAACAATCGAAACAATCGAAACAAAGAACAATCGAACAAGAAACAGCCGAGAAAACGAAGGTGGAATTAGGTTCGTGTTGGAATTTTCCCCATGTCTAGGGCAACGCCGAATGGAGTGTTGTCAATTGGACCGTTCAACAACTGCACCTAACTGACTTCTCAGCTGATGGAATGGATATAGTAAATTTCAACGGTAGTAAAGCTAAAAGTAAACAACAGGTGACGTTTCAAGTGACGCTCAGAAGAGAACCCAGTTTCTATATCTATGTGATCACTCTACCGTGTTTTCTACTCACTTTCCTATCAATCATTGGCTGTTTTTGGACGCTGAATCTACGAGAGGAACAGTTGTCAAAAGTGATTAGAAGAATTTTACAAAAACCAGCAATTTTAGCTTAGCATTGCTTTAACAAGCATGATGTCGATGACAACTTTTATCCAAATGGTTTCCGAACAAATGCCGAGAACGAAAAAGTTTCCATTGTTAGGTAAAAAAGTACAATAGGTACAATATTACAAAACTCTGCATTAATTGATATTTAAAACTAATCTGGGGGAGTGGGACAAATGCGACCTTTTTTTGCGCACCCGGACATTTGCGCACATTTTTTTCCGCACCTTGCCCATTAGCGCACCTTTTTTCGCGTTTTAAAAAGCTCTAAAAAACTAATATTAACCAATTTCTATTCCAAATGTTGTTTTTCTAGGTAATTTGAGGGCGTAGAATCGAAATTTTGACATAACAGAGCGTGTGGAACCAATTTGAAAGACGGCTAGGTCAAATTACAGAAAATTGTCGATTTTTCTCTTTGCATAACTCCGTCCGTTTGTTTCCACAAGCTCTGATATGTCAAAATTTTGATTCTACGCCCTAAAATTACCTAGAAAAACAACTTTTGGAATAGAAATTGGTTAATATTAGCTTTTTAGAGCTTTTTTAAAACGCGAAAAAAGTTGCGCTAATGGGCAAGGTGCGGAAAAAAGGTGCGCAAAAAAAAGGTCGCATTTGTCCCACTCCCCTAATCTGGTAAAAATCAAAAACTCTACCAAATTTCAGGAATATTCGTTCTGATTTGCGTATTTTTGATATCGGTATCATGTGTGATTCTTGTCACTTTCCCCGAAAAGACAAAACCTTCAAATCAAAAGGAGAAAGTGATCAGGTTAGTGAAATATTTCATTTATATGTCGTAACCGTTAACGAAATTCAGCCGTTAACGAAATTCAGCCGTTAACGAATGATTCGTTAGCGGCTAGCTGTTTACGAATCATTCGTTAGCGGCTAGCTGTTGACGAATCATTCGTTAGCGGCTAGCGGTTTACGAATGATTCGTTAGCGGCTAGCTGTTTACGAATGATTCGTTAGCGGCTAGCTGTTGACGAATCATTCGTTAGCGGCTAGCGGTTTACGAATGATTCGTTAGCGGCTAGCTGTTTACGAATCATTCGTCAACGGTTAGCCGATAACGAATGAAATTTTTTCGCTAGCCGTGTACAATTTGTAATCGGCTTCTGCGAACATGGCTCGATTCAAATGAGTTTCTGATTTCAAACTATTTATGCAAGACACAAATCAGCTTATCTAACTGAATTTCGTAAACGGCTACGACATATACATTTTTGTCGATTTAAACAATAGATTCCTTTTAGAACCTGGAAGGAAAGACTCCGCAACTTTAGCTTCTCTCGGCATTTTGCTCTCTTTGCAATGTTTCAATCTGTAAACATTGTCAATTTCATTGTTTTTCTGTCATTTTGGGATTAGAATCATTTTTCAGTGATAAATGATTGACAATCATTGTTTGCAAACACTTTCAAAACCTAATGAATCCACAAGGGACTATTGTGGACCAATTGGCGCGGCAAAACCATAGAATGAACTTTGCAATCAGCTGTTTTGTGTTGTTTTTTTATTTTGTTTTGTTTTTAACTATTATTCAACACTCTGTTATTAGATATGAAAGCAAAAAAAAGGACTTGCGCCCAACCATAATTCGATTGTTTGAGGAAAGAAAACGAGTGATGGAAATTGCCGATCTTTTGAAAGAGTCTCACTCGGTGGGTTTAAAAGCCATCAAACGTTGACAAAGACGGGAAACAACCGTTGCCAGAGGTTGGGAGAGGACGTCCTAAGACAGCTACCACGCCCCAGCCATGCAAACAAGTTATTGAACGTCTTAAACGTAACCCAATAACTGCAAAGAGCTCAACTCGAAAAATGGCGGCTTTCATTGGAATTTCCGATCGCTCTGTTCGACGAAAAAGAAAGAATCAAAGCCAATAAAGATGTAAAAGGCCATTTGCTTACGGATCCGATGAAATTATAGCGTCCTGGACTTGTTAAAGTTCTTTAACGATGTTTTGCTGCACACAGGGAGATTCTCTTCACTGATGAGAAGTGGTTTAACATTGAACAAGCTTATAATGATCAGAATCGTACATTAGAATGGTCGTACATTAGAATGGTCGTACATTAGAATGGTCGTACATTAGAATGATCGTACATTAAAATGATCGTACATTAGAATGATCGCACGGAGCAATCTGAGATTCCAATGAAGGCCGTCATTTTTCGAGTTGAGTTCTTTGCGGTTACGTTTAAGACATTGGTCTAAGAACGCTTTACTACTCGAAGAAAGAATAATATCTAGACAACCAAAACCTCAACAAATCATGGTTTGGGCTGGCGTAACTTATACCGGAAAGACTCCATTAATATTTATTTCATAGTGTCAAAGTCAAAGGTGTCAAAGTGGACAAAAAGAGTACATCAGAATGTTTCAAAGCACCGTCAGCCATGAGTAAAGTCTCATTTTGACCGAAATTTCTGGACATATCAGCAGCAGGGAGCCCCATCTCAGAAGGCATGAAATACTAAGGAACGGATTGCTAAGAACTTTCCAAATTGGATTACTGGCTTTCAGCTAGATGTCCAGCTTTCAGCTAGATGTCCAGCTTTCAGCAAGGTGTGCAGCTTTCAGCTAGGTGTCCAGCTTTCAGCTAGATGTCCAGCTTTCAGCTAGATATCCAGCTTTCAGCTAGAGCTCACAGACTCCTGTCACAGCTCACAGACTGGCCATCGAACTCGCCTGATCTCAACTTCTCGATTATTCTATTTGGATCATTCTGGAGACAAAGGCCTGTGCTAAATCCCACACATCAATCGACTTCGTTAAAGCCTGGGATTAGATTTCTTTAACTATCCAAAAGTCAATTGACGACTTTCCCGCAATTGACGACTTTCCCGCAATTGACGACTGGCGCTTAAAGAAATGTGTTGCTGCAAATGGTGGTCATTTTGAGATTTATCAATTGTTTATGTTTTAATTAATTTCTTTTTTCTTAATTCTATGAATAAATTGTTGCCGGTTGTGAAAATTTACGATTGAAGAGTTTCGATGAATTGTTTTTCCATAATTTTACCCTATAGAGGAGCAATATTTTTGAATTAGCAATTGAGTGGAGCAATTGAGCAATTGAGCAAACAAATTGAGCAATTGAGCAAACAAATTGAGTAAATACTTCAAAAAATTTTCCAAATACCCACTCGAATTTCAGTCTTCAGTCGGAAATTTTTGATGTTCGCTGTGTTTTTAATTTTTAGTCTAATTTTTGTTTCAATTAGTCTTTGTGATAACTCTTCTATCAACTTTGAAGATTTTGGAGGCAGTGGTGAGTGTTTTGCAGTCATTGCTTGGAGTTTAAGAAGAGACGTTCAAATTTGGACCGATTCTAATCAATTTCTAATCAATTGGGCTAATGAAACTAGAGAAAATGGCATCTAAATCTAAATCTAAATCGTGTAGAATTTGTGGAAAAATACAGTCACAATTAAGGCAAAAATTGTTGCCAAAGATTTGAGCCCAAAGCAACAGGCTAGCTCAGTAGCTCGCTGCTCCTTCCCCTTTACGGCTTGCAAAAGGGAAGCACTTTATACCCGATGGGTTTGCCAGACAGCGAGCGATTACCCGACCTCACAAAGAACACTCCACATTCTTAGGGATTTCGTTGTATTGTATTGATTTCCATTGTAATTCCATTTGATTTCCATTGTAAATGGTATAGAAAGAAGAAATTGAGCTGAAGATTTGAAGCCAAGGGTTTTCGGGGTCGGGGAATCGACTGGAGTGCTCATTTTACGCTTGTTCATTTATTCATTTTACGCCATTCACCTTGCTTTCTCATTGAAAGTCTACTCAAGCTCTTGCCGATAATTTGATTTAGTGAAAATCGATCTTAATTCGGTCCACCTTTTAAATGATAGTCGATTTCTTTATATTCATTTTTGCATATTCATTTTTGAAATCTTTTCACAGCAAACTACTCGCTTTCTTTAAATGGAGCGAATCGAGTTTTCAACGAGATTTTCACTGTTCGAAACTATCACAGAGAGTTGGCTCCAATGGACACAACACTTGAGAGCGATTCGCCAAGTTTACAGAAAAAGATTACACTCAAAAACAAGCTTTAGAAGAATCACGACTACAGATTGAAATCCTGATTCAACTACTTTTCATTATGAGCCTGGTTTGTCAAACTATTGGGTTGGTGAATTGAAAACTGCCGGACTTTGAACTAGAATTTATTCAACATAAAACCATAAATTCATTCCAAATAATTTCCATTATTATTGACGACTCCTGCCCATTTTACAGGCAATTTGCGAATTCCTCTTTCGTAGTTGGATTTTGGTTTGTGTGTGAGACAAGTGTGAGACTCAAAAATGGAGGACTGGGCTTTGAGAATGGAAGACTGGACTCCCAGTTTGAGCACTTTCTTCAAAAGAAACCCATTTTGGTGTCAATAGAAAAGTTGTAGAGAATCAAAAATTATACTTATATCCAAATTTCCAAAAAGATACACTTAGTAGTTTCGCTTAAAATGCAAGTTTTGTGAAAATTCGTAAATTTTGCATTTCTTGAAAACCAGTTTTTGAATCGTTCTGAAAATTTGGATATAAGCTTAATTTTTGATTCTCTACAACTTTTCTATTGACACCAAAATGGGTTTCTTTTGAAGAAAGTTCTCAAACTGTCACAGCTGACAATAGCCGGCAGTTTTCAATTCACCAACCCAATATTGGCTATCCAGAAAGTCTTTAAGTTCCTTTTTGTACTTTCGTTTAAAACCAAGAATTGACAACAATACGAAAAGACTTTCTGAAAAGCCAAATATTCAATTCGATACCAAATCGGAGTTCAGGATGTAGTCGAACAAAATCTCGTTACCTATATCGAATTGGAGCTCAAATGGCAAGACTTGAGACTGGCATGGAAAGGACAAGATTTCGATGGAGTATCCATTCTTTGGGTTCACTGTGACCAGTTGTGGACACCAGAAAATATCGCTGTTAATGTGTGAGTCTTTCAGGAGCAATGCTGAATAATACAAGGCGGATCTGGGCAAAATTTTAGGCAAAATGTTAGATAAAATTAGCTAGATACTCAAAAAGTCAAATTTAAAGTTGTTCAATCAGGCAATACCAGTATTATTTAGTATTTCCGTCGAAGAAGTCTACCCGGATCGCTTCAAACAATGCAAACTTTACTCAAATGGAACGATTCACTACGATATGATTCTTCTCATTCGATCAGCGTGCGAGCTGAATGTATTTGATTTCATTTAGTTTGCCACTTTAGTTGTTTCATTTAGTTGTTCACTGAAATCTTTAGGTTGAAAGATTTCCATTCGATCAGCAAACCTGTGAACTCCATTTCAACTCGCATACTTACGACTCTTATCGAATTAATACGCAGGGTGGGCTCTTCACCAAATATCCTGGTTCAGCACCAGCGGTTAGTAAGCTTTATTGTGAATGATTTATTGTGAATGAATGATTCATCACGACTCTTTTCAAATGATTTTAGGGGAATAACGAATGGTCAGTCACAAATTGTACTGTCGATCATTTATCTCTTGCTGATTATATAAAGCCTGGAGCTGCTCCGCAAGCGGAAGTGGTACGGCTAAACCTTTTTGACAATTGCAAACGATTTTACTGAGCCATGAATTTACCTTTAGGTTGTTTTTCATCTGAAACTAAAACGAGAACCCAGTTTCTATATCTATGTGATCACTCTACCGTGTTTTCTACTCACTTTTCTCTCAATCATTGGCTGTTTTTGGACACTTAATCTACGAGAGGAACAGTTGTCAAAAGTGATTACAAGAATTTTACAAAAGGTAGCAAGCCTTTAGCTGAGCATCGCTTTAACAAGCATGATGTCGATGACAACTTTTATCCAAATGGTTTCCGAACAAATGCCGAAAACGGAAAATTTCCCACTGTTAGGTAAGCTTTAGGTTGTAAACTAAGTCTTGACCCCAAATTCTAAACAATATTTATTGACAAAAAAAAAGAGGAGTTTGATCGAAATAATCTCCATTATTTGCGATTTGCCAATTTTATTTGCGATTCGCCTATTTTACTGGTAATTGGCGGATTTTCATTCCTTTTCCTACTTCCATTTAAAATCAACAAATACATCAATTGAACTACGGTTTGTTTCATTAGAAAGGCCAATTATTTCTCTGCAAAATAACATTAAAATTGATTTAAAATGTCTTATTTCTGGATTTTTTTGGAGTTGCAAAGTCGGATAGTCAAAATTGCAACGAATCTCAAAAAGCACTTTTCTCTCTCGAATTTGCTTAAAAGTGAACCGAAAATTGACTTGCCTGAAGTCGGGTAGTCAAAAAGGCGATGGCTCGATGATACGAACACTTTCGTTTTAAAAAAGACACACTTTAGCTAAGGAAACCTATCTTGGTGTTAATAGATAAAAGATAGATCACAAAAAGTTTAGTATATAGCTAAATTTTCAGAGAAATTGATTCAGCCAATTTCTTCATAGAGGTTTTTCTAGATTTTTACGAAAAACACTTGAATTTTCTTGAGAAGAAAGCCAAATTGACTTAAAAAGATGGAAAATTAAACAATAAACACTTTTTTGAACCCTATGGTTTATTCTCAACTCACAAATTCATCAATTAACCTATGTTAATTGATGAATTTGTTATTTTTCAACAAAAGTACGAAAAGGCACGAAAAGACTTTCTGGATAGCTGATTATTTTCAGTTTTTAAATAGCTTAAAGACAGATTATTATTAATGAATAGTTATGCGTAATCCCATAACTTTAGGCATATTCGTTTTGGTCTGTGTCTTCTTGATTTCCCTCTCTTCTGTTATTCTCGTCATTTTTCCCGAAAGATCAAGAGCGTTAAATAAAAAGGAAAAAGTTTCCAGGTTAGTTTTCACAAAGCGAACAATTTTAGACTTTAATTTAGAACCTGGAAAGAACGGCTTCATTACTTTTTCTTCTCACGACATTTCGCTTTTTTGGCAACTTTTCAAGTAGCCAACTTTGTTAACTTTTTGGTTTTTCTCTCTTTTTGGAATTAGAATAAACAGTAAAGTTGATTTTCAGTAAACGTAAAGTAAAATGGAAAATTATATATATGTTGTGTCCGATTTAGATTTTGAGTCTAAATGCGACGTCTGATTTGTTGTTGTTGTTGTTTTATGTTTTACACAAGTTTTCAGAATTTTTTTATCGGTTATGAATTGCAAACAAGTTTATTTTTAGAACAAACAACAAAAGATGCGAAAACAACAAGATTGAACAATACATAATCAACTTAAATTAGACTGCAACAACTGCAATTTTTTGTACAATGTTTCAAAAACGAACTTTGATATCCCGTAGTAAATCTTAAGATGTTGCCACATGCAACTTAAGAACCTAACTTAAAGAAAAAACCAAGTACCATGTAATTAAAGAATCTATTAACAATAACAAAGCAATAAAATATACCTGAATTTGATGTTGTGCCGAGCAACTCGCTTATCACTTTTTCCTCGCGCTCATCGCTTTCTCCATCGTGTGTACCTGACTCATTTGTTGTGTCGAGCACGCATTGGATTGATGTGGCAACATCTTAAGATTTACTACGGGATATCAAAGTTCGTTTTTGAAACATTGTACAAAAAATTGCAGTTGTTGCAGTCTAATTTAAGTTGATTATGTATTGTTCAATCTTGTTGTTTTCGCATCTTTTGTTGTTTGTTCTAAAAATAAACTTGTTTGCAATTCATAACCGATAAAAAAATTCTGAAAACTTCTGTAAAACATAAAACAACAACTGCGTCTAAATCAGACGTCTAAATCAGACGTAGACTCTAAATCTAAATCGGACGTCTGATTTAGACTCAATCTAAATTTTATATAGATTAAACAATAATATAAACATGCTTAATATATGTTCTTAAGCGTTTTCTGTAGTTTTCTGCATTTTTCAAAGGTCTGTTACTGTCTTTTTCTGAAAAGAAAACCCAACTATGAAACAATTTATTAGCGTTAACAGAATAGATGCGAAATTACAACATACAACAACAAAAAACCAACAACAACAACGAACGAGTTAAAAATTTCTATTTATTTTTGCAGCTTAGGCTATTGTGACATCTTGAATCTATATAAGACGTATTATTGTTCAATCTATATAAGATTTAGATTGAATCTAAATCGGACGTTCGATATACACTGTAATCTAAATCGGACGTCCGCGATAAGTTCAATCTAAATCGGACGGAGATCTAAATCGGACGTCCGCGATAAGTTCAATCTAAATCGGACGGAGATCTAAATCGGACACAACATATATATGCTTTATTCAGGGGGCGAATAGAAGCGAATCAGACAATCATAACCGCATATAACATATTGCTATAATACTTTCGCAAAAGAAGAAAGAAAACTAAAAATGGTACAGTAAGACACAGGAAACACAGGTACAAAAAGATAGGGCAGATTAAATATAGGGCAGGTTTGACATGGCAATAAGATCTAATTCGTTTACAGATACTTTGAATTTTCCTACAGACGAGAAGATACCAGACGGGAGCTTATTCCAAACCCTACTAATGATAAGGATGATAAAGGGAAAGATGATGGGGATGAGAACCGATCGAAATTTGAATTAGAAAAGTTCTTTAGACTTAAAAGACCGACCTAAAAGACAGACCTAAAAGACAGACCTAAAAGATCTTTGGCGTCTTTGGCATCGTCTTGAGTTTTGAGGCATTTCTCCCGGAGAAAGATGTCGAGGTGCTTGAAAAAGTCGGTAGACGAAAGGTTCGGCGAATATGGCGGGTGAGGCATAAAATATTTCAAAGTTCTTTATCTTAGCTCTCCATCACCTGGAGAGTCGAAAGGCAAGTCCTAGTTAACAAACACTATTCTCAAGCGCTATTCGTCTTCTTTGAAAATTAATTGTTAACTAGTTTACTTACTTATTAACTAGTTTTGTTTTTTTTTGTAAATGCTTCTAAATTCATAATATAAAGTGGTCTCTCTGTCCAAAGTTTAAAAGCAAAAATTTTGATTCTCAAGTTTCCAATCGTATTTGCCTTCCTCCAATGTACTTGGAGACTATACTTGGAGACTCAAGTTTCCAATCCTCCAATGTACTTGAGTTTCCGTTGCACTCATGAAAATGCAATTGATTTGTTCATAAATTGATTTGCAATTTATTTGCAATTGATTTGCAATTGATTTGCAATTGATTTGCAATTGATTTGCAATTGATTTGCTTTTCCCAAATAATGATTGCCTTTGATTTCCCCATACTATTTCCTTTGTTTGCATTTTTTCACATTACAATAGCTGATGGTCCAGAAGAGATCGATTACACCGAGTTTGGGGCTAGAAGTTGGTCAGCGCATCTTTTTGAAACAAAATCTTTTAGCTGCATATTCGACTGCTGTCAACAACAACAATAAATTGTATTATGAGCTTTTTCAAAGACGAAATTATTATAAGGATTTAGCTCCAATAGAGGCAAATTTGAATGGGAGTTCGCCCGGTTTGTAAGGGTTTTTTCGGAAACGAAATCAAAGTTTCAGTTGATGAACGATTTGCGATTGTGATCAAGCTTCAACTGCTTGCATTGGTTGAGTTGGTAAGTGAATAAAATAAATAAAGCAATGTTGAGATGGCGAATATTAAAGCTAGCACATTATTTCAAGCCATATATCTTAAAATTTACCTTTCATGTGATTGTCTACAAAGTGTTCGACTTCTTTTAGTAGATTAGCTCTCAAGTGCCAAGTTCAACTCTAATGTGTTAAGTGTTATATAAAATATTAAAGCCCTTAATCTTGGCTACATTTATGCATTAAAAGTTTCACGATTAGAGATATACAACTCATTTTACAATCTCTTGAATAAGTAGCAGTTATCCCTCTCCGGCATTTTGCCATTTTGTCGATTTTCCTCATAATAAATTGTCAGAAAAGGTTCTTCGATATTTATTTTATGTTAAAATGTTATTTAGTATTATTAAATGACACTAAGAACCGTTTTTGATCAAACCGTCTTCCTAAAGTTCAAGTTGAAATCAAGTTCCTTTAGTGGAAGCAAGGAAAGAAGTGAAAATTGCGTATTTTTTAATGTTTATTTCATACGTGCTCCTCGTTATATTGCCTGATCTGGTGCTATAAATTTGTTGGAAAGAATTGCCATAAATTTCTTTCTTTCTTTTCTTTTCTTTCTTTCTGAGAAAAGAAATTCTTCCTGATTGAAGAATTTTTTATGAGGAAAAGCCAAAAATGGCGGATCCACTAGCATTCATTCCAAGGCTTGTAAAATGAGTTGTATATCTCCAATCGTGAAACTTTTAATACATAAATGTAGCCAAGATTAAGGGCTTCATTATTTTATATAACACTTAATGCATTAGGATTCAATTTGAAGCTTGGGAGCTAATCTGACACCTAAACACTGACACCCTGTAGGATGTAGTTCGTCAAACACTACGGGCCTACATTGAGGTAGAGATGGGATGGCAAGATATACGATTGGCTTGGAATCGATCTCCTTATGATATTGGACTTCTTTGGGTGCATTGTGATTCGATTTGGACACCCGAGGACTTTGTGACGAATACGTGAGTTTTGAAGTTTATGAAACTTAAAATTATGTTTATGAAACTTAAAATTACACCTCTTTTGAAAATGTTGCTGGCAAACACCTGACTTATTACCAAAGTACCAAGTGTTATATAGAAAAATAAAGCCCTTGATCTTGGCATCATTTATCTACAAAGAACTTCCCGATTGGAATTATACAACTCATTTTACAAGCCCTTGAATGAGCTCAAGTCGGCCTCTCTCCTCTGCCATTTTTGTTTTTGACACTTTTCTAAAAAAATTGTTTAAAAGTTTTATTTCATGTGAAAATCACATTTAATATTATTTAGTAGCAATAAGAATAATAGCAAGCTCTTTTGTCAAACTTTCATAGTGTCAGCTCCAAGCCAAACTGATATTTTAGTTACTAATGTTATTATTGACTCATTTAATCATCATCATAATCATGAATCATCATCATAATCTTAACCCAAATTCTAGTCCACATCCGTTTACACCTAGGAACGTATAATAGCCAAAATTGGGGTTGATTTCTTTCATTTGGAAACTCTGCAAAAAAGGGAAAAATTTAGTTTTTTCGAATATCCATTTGACAAGAAGATCTTGCTGTATAAGCTTCACTAGCGTTATATTTTTGTTCAATGGTACTTTTAAAGTAAAATACCACAAGTTTGATTGAAGGAATTCTTTTCTAGATGAAAATATTGTGTGTCAAAAAGTGTCAAAAATGGCAGAGGAGAGAGGCCGACTTGAGCTCTTTCAAGAGCTTGTAAAATGAGTTGTAGAACTCAAATCTGCAAGTTCTTTGTAGATAAATGATGCCAAGATCAAGGGCTTTATTTTTCTATATAACACTTGGTACTTTGGTAATAAGTCAGGCGTCAGGGCGTCATTTTAGGTTATCTGATTTTAGGCAAATCAGATAACACTACGGAATTGAGCGATACAGTAATACAAGCGCGAAAACGTTTGTGCCAAACTCTTGGTGTTAGCTAGTTGACTTTGCATCAAGCAAATTCATAGCTCTCAAGCTGAAGCAACTGAGCGTTTTAAGTCGTTGTTTACCCTTTTGTTCCTCACCGTTTAGTGGGGGAGAATTATCGTGATGGTAGGTGATGAATCTCCACTTTTCTCCAGGCGTCAGGAACATTCCAAAAGAGGTGTCACCATAATTCGCGATCACCCTGAACTAGTGACTTGACTTGACTAGCGAGCAGACTTGAATATTGAGAAAATAGAAAACAATGCAATAGCAATAGAAGATAAACATGATTCATTTCACTTCCAGAATTCAAATCACCGAGGTTTATCCGGATCGCTTTAAACAATGTCGATTTGATCACAACGGAAGCGTGTATTACGATCAAGTCTTTTTAGGCGATTTCACCTGCCCAATGGATGTAAAAGATGAGCATTTTACTGATGGTAAAAAATCATTTCCAGATAAGCAAGTTTCCATTTGATACCCAAGATTGCACGCTTCAATTCGGCTCTAATTCCTATCAATGGTTTCGTATTAACCAAACCGGAGAGCTCTTCACCAAATACAAGGATTATTCTGTTGTGGTAAATATTGTTTTGATGTTTATGTTGTAGTTGACTTTGATAGAGTTAAAGAACAAGTTTATTGAGAACAGGATGCTTTGTTTATTGAAAACAAGTTAAACAGAATGCTTCTCTGACCAAAATGCTCGTATTCAGGGAAATAGTGAGTTCGGCTCTACGAATTGCACTATGAGAACGGAGACGGCCATTGGCACAATGGATACCATCTACCAATCAGTGATCAATTGTCTAGATTTACTATTTAAAAGCTTTTAGATTATATTTGACCTCAAATTGAAGCGTGAACCAAACTTCTATATCTATGTGATCGCTCTACCGTCGTTCTTGTTGACCTTTCTCTCGATAATTGGCTGCTTCTGGACACCAAATGTTAAAGAAGAGCAATTGACTAAGGTAAAGCCGAGTACAAAGCGATTAGGAAACTGTTTAGTCAAATTTTGTTTAATTTTTGCTTTACTGAAAACCAACTTGCGACCTTTTTCCGTGAAAATCTTGGGTTGACGCTTTAAAGCATGGTAAATCTACCGTATCCTTCCTAATTTGCAAGAAAAGAAAGCGCAATTTCATTCTTTCATTCTCTTTCTTCGTTTATTTCATTCTTTTTGCCGATTTCTGTTGTGGGTTTTCTTCGTATTCTTTGTGAGTGATGATGACATAACTTTGGCTTGGTTTGCAGAAGAGATCAGTACCTTCAAAACGGAGAAACTTCTTTGCAAATGGCACACTATCTACACAAAAGAGCGCTATTTTAATCGTCTTACAAAAGTAGTTTTACAAACCAACATCTATATATAATGCAAGATGGTTTTTTATGAAACAAAAAAAAGAAACTTAGCGAATTCCTTGCAGAAAAAATGAAAAAACATCAGCTGATTTGGCGGTTTGGCTTGGCTTGGTTTAGGCTTGAGATTTGGCTGGATGAATCGGGCACGACGCATACCGGATTCTCTAATAGTAGGAGCGAGCCGAGTTGATGACTATTTTACGGTTTCCAAGTTTTCACAGACGCTTAACACTCTAATCCCCCACTAGATCTCATCGTCAGCTACATTTTCCGACCCCACCTCGATAGGTTCTGATAAGCGGTTTTCCGAGATTTCGAGCAATTTTGGCAACGCTCAGGGTGCACTACTATTAGAGAGAATATGGTATTTTAAAATCTGCTAATGGACGCTAATAGAATAACCTATGAGTAGTAGTGTAGAGTACAAATTTGGAATGGGTTAATTTGCAATTTCCGCTGAATATCTGCAATCTTTGAGCACAGTTTCCCTTCTTAAATGCAAATTTGGAGTAAATTTTAAAGTCGAATAACCGGCGGGAAATGGCGTTTTTTACAAATAGACTTCAGATTCGGAATCAGCGAATTTGTTTATTATAAAATTGGAGTTTACAGCCGCCTAGCTCAATTTCCTGAATCAAAGCCTTGGACAGACAGACAGACAAACGGCGTTATATACAATACTGGACAAAAGATAATCCTCGCGAATTTTTTTTCATCTTTGAAGAGCTATAGCTCCGAGCCTTTCCATCGTAAAATAAAAGTGTTATAGTGGTTCTGAAAGCTTAAAACGAGCTCTATAAGGTGATGTATTCGCTTTTTAAAACTATTTTAATTTTTGACACATTTCGGGGTGCGCAAAATAGGGTTTGAAAAACAACATTTTCAGCGCTGTTTTTTTTGTTGACGCCATGCTCTAATCATCTTGAAACCGTGTTTTTTGGCAAGGACATGCAAAATTACCCTTAGAAACCTTCAATTTGAGTACTTATTGCTGTATCAAAGTTCTAAAAAAATCAAATTCGCATTACCGTCACCCTAAATAATCAGAAGACAGAATTACTGGAAGACAGAATCAGAATGAGCGGTGTAAGGACGCTTGAGTGCAGAAATACGTAAAAAAAGAATGAAACTGCGTTTTTTTATACATTTAAATTTGAAGCAGTACGCTAGTTTTACCACGCTTTAAACCGCCAACTCAGGATTTTCTCGAAAAAAGGTCGCAATTGGAAACCAAACACTTCTAGTTGAGCGTCGCTTTGACGAGCATGATGTCAATGACGACTTTGATCGATTTGGTGTCACAGGAAATGCCAAAAACTAAAAAGTTTCCATTACTTGGTAAGCTTTAAAGAGAAATCAGATTTGCACAAGTAAAAAACAATTCCATTTGTTTAACTACAATATTTTAGTCTTTGTTTTTGACTTTAGGGACTCTTCAAGCCGACAAATTCAACAATCAGGTCACTTATTTAGGTATCTTCATCCTTGCTTGTGTTTTCATCACATCAATCTCCTGTGTGGTGCTTGTAATCCTCCCGGAGAAAAGGAAATAAAAAATTCATGAAAAAGACCTACAAATGAAGTTATTTATTGTTGAAAGCAAGATCAAAGCGTTTTAGGAATTTGTTCATGGAGAAGCTCAAGCGATTTTTCATTTCAAGACATTTCAGCCTTTTTATCCTTTTTCAGGGTAGCAATATCATCAATTTTATTGTTTTCATGTCGTTTTGGGAATAAATAAGAAAGCTAAGAAAGCTTGAATCACCAGAAATGCAAACAGAAACAAAATAAACAAAATAAAGTAATATTTACCAACATTTTTAAAACAAAACAAATAAGGAATGAAGTCCGAAAGTAACGAAGTCCGAAAGCAGCGAAGTCCGAAAATTCAGTGTCCAGAGAGTTGTTTATGCACATTTGGAACGTAGTCATCGTATTTTGCCTAAGATTTGAATACTTTTCAATGGGTAAAGCATTTTGAATAGGTAAAGCATTCAAAATTTGAATCTTAAATTGATTTTCATTCTACCTGATAAAAATTCCCAGCCACTAGGCTCATATTGTGTTTTTGAGCGAATGTGGCCGCACTCCAATTCGGGCGGCCATCCGATGAGTTGTTCGGTGTCTGAAATTCGTTTTGAAAATGTAGATAAAATGTAGATAAAGACAAATATTACACAACATAAGCCTTATAAGGAAAAGAAGGGGTTTTAAAAACAATTTCCTTACTTACTAATTTACTAGGGAACTTTTTCAACTTACCACCGATTTTCGGAACCGGACCTAACCTATCTTGTGCAGTTTTTCACGCTGATTCCGATCAGGAAAAGTTCTTTACAGCATCGGAATCAGCGTAAAAAAAACTACACAGGATAGGCTAGGTCTGGTTGAGAAAATCGGTGGTAATTTGAAACAGTTCCCTAGTAAATTAGTAAGTAAGTAAAATTGTTTTTAAAAGTTAGGCCAATCTCCCACCTTAAAGCCAGCATCAACTTTTCCATTCTGTTTGAAGAGAAGGAACACGTAGCGGTGAAGACCTAACAACATTTGCATACCTAAGTATTGTTTTCATTTACCTGTATCCTTTGGTGGTCCAGATCCAACATATCCAGCAGCTTCATCGCCTTTCTCAACCTGATTCCCAGGAATGTTGACCACTACCCAATGCTTGAACTCACGGCGAGTTGGGTTTGCTCTTGATGGAGCATCGGGATCTGAGAAAAGTTGGCTTATTGGGTATTGGGTTTTACATCCACAACGGCTCAACTAGGAATAAATAATAGACTTGTAACGAAAACATCTTCGACTTGTAACTTGTCAGTCCTTTTTTTCTTAGGCAACTAAGGGTTTCTAGTTTTTCTCAGCACCACCCCTTCGATTTTTGACTATTTTGTCTATCATTTGATGCAGAATAAAATTGCGCATTGAATGATACCAAAATTAACTCAAAATGTAATATCTATGCAAAGTTATGAGGCAAAAGGTTAAGTCCCGCCCATAATGGGCCGGGTTTAGGTTTATAGCCAAAGTTGAAGCTTGAGAGTACTGATAATAAACATTAAAATACTTTTTGTACCTGTCAAAATCAAAGTGTACAGGGCATCGGATAAAGCATCCCAAGTAACGGTCGGTTTGTCCTTGACTTGAGTTGGAGTGAGCTCATTTCCAAAATCGGCCTAGATCGTCTTGTGATCGTCTTGTGAATCACCTTTTGGAAAAACAAGACAGTAGCTCTATTTCCAACCTTGACCCCATTTTTATACGTGACTCCAAGAATATCTTTTGGTGGAACGGAGATCACATCGGGTACAACTCCATCTGTCGTGAAAGCTTCTAATCCGGTTGCCATTGCGCTGAATTTCTTAAAAAAATGAGCAGAAAATTGAGGCTTTACAGCAAGGAATATGGTTTTGAATAACATCTAAAACAGGTAAACTTGTAACTTTATTTTATAGTAAATCAAAAAAATGCTTTAAATGAGTCCAAGTCCATAGTTTTAATCAAATGCAAAAGCATATGCTCAAATTTAAAAGCTAAAACCATACCTGGAAAATAAGGCAGTGAAGAAAAGGGTGAAAAACAAAAACATATTCCGAGAAAGGAGCATTGATCGAATCCCCGTTGGGAGAGTGCTTGTTTACGAGTGGTGGATGGGGAAAAAGAGCTTTTGCAAAAGGGAACGCTAAAAGGGCACGTAAACAATTGACGGATTGTTTTCAAGGCAAAGGAAAGATAATCTTTTTTGAAATAACTTGCGATTGCAATTATAATCAACATTTGTAGATCTCAATTTAATCTACGAGAGATTTGTCAGAAAAGATTTGGACTCCAGGCTCACAATCAGATTCTAGTAAAATATTACCGTCCCCTTTTGCCGTTTCGTCACATGCAAATATGTTTTTGAAAGTGCTCTCTTCGAATTTCTGGTTCACGTTTAGGAAATGGTTGACCAGAACTTTTCCAAATTTGCTAGGAAGCTTTTGACATGTTGTGGTCGCCGCTCTCAATGAGAATTCCTTTAGAAATGATTCCATCCAACCGTGTCTTCTTTTGAAGAGAATCTCTGTTTCTATGGTTTGGCTTTGCAAAATTGTAAATAAAAGAGAGGCTCATTACTGATTGATTCACCTAATAATTCTTAAGTTTTTCCTGCAAGTACCAATCACAGGAATTTTTTGTTTACAAGAATTGTATGTGAAATTGATTTTTTGCATTACAAAATCCATGTATCTCAATTCAATTTAATCGATCTCTCGCGTTTGGGCGTTTTCGTTTGACATGAAAACGATTTTATTTACAGGCACTGAAATAGCAACGATCAAAACTAGAATATCACAGATTTAAGCTATGAACTAGTTTAGGTTTTGTTTATTGTTACAAATTTGCCGGACGGAACTGATTCTTCGCCTCTCGAAGCTTGGCCATTACATCGACTGGACTGATTGCTGAGACCTGAAGAAAAATTTTTGAATCAAATGCAAACTTTGATGCAAGCTTACCTGTTTTTGTATCTCATTACTATTAACTCTCATGAACGGATTGATCTTCTTCTCTTCACCGATTGTCGACGGGACTGTCGGCTGCTTTTTGGCGTCACAATCGAGAGAGAACTTCAGCTTTGCAATCACATCCTAGAATAGAGTGTGTTCCTCGTGACGCTTTCTAATTCACTCTATCGTCATAGTCGTAGTTATTTAGAAGAATTTTCGTACCTGATTGTTTGGCTCAATGTGTTTAGCAAATTTGAGATTGCTTGAGGTGTATTCATGTCCTGGATAAACACGAGTATCATCGGGTAGTGAAGCCAGGACTTCGTTCAGATTTCGTTGCATTTGTTCAGCAGTACCTAAAACAAATTAAATCTTCTGAAAACTGATTTGAACTGAAACTGAAAACTGTTAAATGGCACTGCTTCGTTTTAAAGGAAATGTAAGGCATATGAAAATCTGATGAGCATGAATTTGATGAATATTGAATTCTATTAATATTCTATTTCTAGTCACAATCCTATTTCTAGTCACAATCCAACTCCAAATCCAACACCAAACCCACCCTCAAAGAATTTCCCACAGCCAGCAATGAACAACGTGTCTCCGGTAAGCACAACTCGTTCATTCCCTCGTTCAACATAATAACAGATGTGTCCTTTTGTGTGACAAGGAGTCGAGAGAGCTCTTGTCTAAAGTTTTGTTTTGAAAAACTGCTTAAATGATTGACTTTAGCTATGGTTGCTTAAATGATTGACTTTAGCTATGGTTGCTTAAATGATTGACTTTAGCTATGGTTGCTTAAATGTACTCTCAAGCCTTTGAAACAATTATTAGGCGGTTCAAAACGTTCCTTTTCGTACTTTTTGTTGAAAAATAACAAATTCGCCAATTGCTTATGGTTTGTTCTAAATAAAAAGTGTTTATTGTTCAATTTCCCATTATTTTAAGTCAATTTCGCCTCAATTTCAAGCAAATTCGAGAGTGAAAACGTGGATGTCAAATGAAAATGTCAAATGAAAATGTCAAATGAAAATGTCAAATGAAAATGTCAAATGAAAATGTCAAATGAAAATGTCAAATGAAAATGTCAAATGAAAATGTCAAATAAAAATGTCAAATAAAAATGTCCAACCTTCAATCCTCCAAACTCGAAATGATCTTCATGCTTTAAATGAACATCTAAACAATCGATTCGAGCATCTCCGCCATAGATTTTGATCGACGGGTCTGGGTACAATTCCTGAAGTTTTCAATGTTTTGTCGAACTTCATTAAACCAAACTCTAAACTGCTTCATTCCACCAGCGTGATCCCAATGATGATGCGTGACAAGCGCTGCACAAATTGATAGCTGAATCGTTTTCTTGGGTAAGTTTGGAAGCTGAAGTTGAATTAACATCAAATATTTAGCAACTCACCGACAATTCATTAGCTATCTTCTGTATTTTTTCAGGTTCGACTGGATCCACGGCAGCCGCGTGTTTCTGCAATAGTAAAAGTTGTAATTTATCCAAAATTCTAGATTAGATCAAACCTTTTCTGAATCAAATACTAGATACATGTAATTGTCCTCAAGTGCGGGCACAGGGATAACTTGAAGCATTCTGTTGATCGAAATCTGCTTTGCCGCTCGCAAAACTGAGAAATACATTAACACTGAATCAGAACGGTTTTGAAACGATTATGAAACGATTATGAAACGATTAAAAACGATTATAAAACGATTATAAACGATTATGAACGATTATGAACGATTTTATTATGCAATGAAAAGAAAAAAAAAAACAATTTCAAGCAAAAGCAGGTAAGTTCAAACTGTTTTCAGAAACTTTTCATTTGAATGAGCTCTCTGATAAACTTTGACGGATAAACAGGGGTACTGTAGAAGATCCACGATAAGAAATGCTTTACAAATGTAAGTTTAAGTAAAAGTGAGGTAAAGTGAAAAGTTTGGGGGTGGGACAAATGCGACCTTTTTTTTGCGCAACTGGACATTTGCGCACCTTTTTTTGCTGCAAAAGGCCTTAGACAAGGCCGTAGAGCTTCGAAAATATTTCCATATAAGGGAATCGTATGCGTAGATTCCGAATTTCGATAAATCAGACCTCGCTGACACGTCAAATTTGGGCTAAAAGGCAAAAACTACGCAACTTAACGCTTTTCCGCAGTTTTTGCCTTTTAGCCCAAATTTGACGTGTCAGCGAGGTCTGATTTGTCGAAATTCGGAATCTACGCATACGATTCCCTTGTATGAATACATTTTTGAAGCTCTACGACCTTTCCTAAGGCCTTTTCCAGCAAAAAAAGGTGCGCAAATGTCCAGGTGCGCAAAAAAAAAAGGTCGCATTTGTCCCACCCCCAAAAGTTTAGCTTTTCAAAATTGCAATCTGCACAAATTTTGTGTACATTCTAAAGTTTTATTAATTTCCGTAAAATCACAAAATTCCAATAGCTCGAAGACCAACAAAAAATGGATATAAACAGCCAAGGAACTTCTTCATCATCACTTTCACGTATTCATCGTATTGAGCCTGAAATTTATCAGACTTCCATTAGGTCTTCTATTAGAGGCTGGCCTAGCATAAATTAGAATAAATAAATAAAATAAATAAATAGAATAAATACGACAAGTAGAATAAATACAAATTATTAGAATAAATACAATTATTAGAATAAATACGGTAACTCTTAATTTTATCAAACTCCTTACTTGATAAAAATTCCCAGCGATCAGCGTCATTTGATGGCTTTGTGCCCAGGCAGAAGCGCGCCACTTCATGCGGCCTTTGATCGAAGTATTTGACACCTAGAAGTTACTGTTGTATAAAATCTTTCTATAAAATGGCTTGCTTTTGAGCTATTTAAGCACACGTTACATAGTAAATCGAAGATAAATCAATATGCATCTATAGTCTGATCTCCAGAAAATCAGGTGAAGATTTTGCGGAAAAAATCCAACAAAGATTCACTAAAGTCCTTGGAAAATTGACTAAAGTCCTAAAGTCACTAGAGTCCTTAGAAAATTGACTTTCCTAAATTCCTAATATGAGTTATAGACTTGATAGACTCAATGTTTTTGAGCTTAAAACTTTTAAGCATCACCGCTTGGTTGAATACTTCTAAATTGTTAAATGTAAACTTTCTAGTTCTCTTTTTTGTCATTTTTTTAAAACTCAATCTAGTGATCGATTCAAGGAGAAGTTGATTTCTCTTGAGAATTTCTATTACCTCAAATAGCTTTGTGCATAGCTTTGTGCATAACTTTGTGCATAGCTTTGTGCATAGCTTTGTGCATAGCTTTGTGCATAGCTTTGTGTATAGCTTTGTTTCTATACTTTGTGTCTTTCCCAATCAGAGTTGCCAGGTTTCGAAATTTACCGAATACTATTTACCGGATACTATTTACCGAATGTTATTTACCGGATACTATTTACCGAATACCAAACAATTTAAGAGAATGCAAAAGCCTTAGATCCTTTAAGAAAAATCAGTAGCTAACCTAGATCTTCTCTTATGAGTAATTGATTGGATTTAATTTATTCTAAAATCTTTCAATCTTTGTTCTGTTTCTTTAGGTGTCACCTCTGTGTATTGAAATTTTTTTCTTTTTCACTTTACTTCATGTCTTGAATAAAGTATCTATATAACCCACTGTTGGTTCAGCATTCAGCCGCCCATTCTGTTTGTACAAGAGAAAGCAATATCGGTGAAGACCTAAATGTTCTTTTTTAAAGTTTTATCTACCTTTGCGCTTACCAGATCCTTCAGGTGGACCGGATCCAATATAATCGGCGGCTACGTCACCCTTGTCAACTTGATTTCCAGGGATATTGATCACTAGCCAATGCTTGAACTCGCCGGGTCTCGGTTTTTGTCGAGATGGGGCATCGGGGTCTGAAGAGAGAGGAAATTCTGTACATATTCATTCTCAAAATGGAAAGGCTAGTCAAGCTGGACTTTTGACTCGAGATCAAGTCTATCTTAGAGGATCTGAGTCATCTTCGGTGGTCTAGTGGATAGTCTGCTAGACTGCCAAATCTATCACTTTAATGGAGATTTTGAATTCGTTTTTAGTTTTTGCAGAACGCTTCGCAAACGCGAGATATTTAGCATAGAAAATCAGCATGAATTTGGAGCTTTTTCTGAGGCCGCCACGCGCTTCCCTAACAACTCCTTCACTGGTCTAGTGGATAGTCTGCTAGACTGCCAAATCTATAACTTTCTTGCTCTCAAGTTCGAGTTCCACGCTCGTCAAACTGTTTTGCTTTTTAGAAAACTGTTTCCTTACAATAAATAAACGAGTCAGCACCTTGTTTTGAGCAATCAAGTATATTAAGAAATTAGACAAAATAATAATTCAGACAAACCTATGAATATCAAAGAGTATAGAGCATTTGGTTCAGCTTCCCATGTCACAGTGGGGACATCTTTGACTTGTGTCGGTGTTAATTCATTTCCCATTTCAACCTAAATGGTTCCGAGTTCAATGTCAACATTTCCCTTGGCAAACATGTTGTTTTTGAATCATGTTTTGGATGTTTTTGGAGGTTTTTGGAGGTTTTTGGAGGTTTTTGGATGTTTTTGGATGCTTTTGGATGCACAATTGTACATGCAAGATGTCTGAACATTCAAAAGCCTAGCTAAACACTCACCTCTACTCCACTGTCATATTTGATTTGCAAGATTTGTCGCGGAACTGTTGGAATAACATCTGGCACAACGCATTCTTTAGTGAATTGTTCAAAATCCATTTGGATGAGGTAGGTGAGGAGTATAATAGAGTATAAAGAATCAAATTTCTCAGAGATGAACAGTTTTAGTGATCTGGTAATAAGATTTATTGGTCGAGCGGGGCGTGGAGACAACAAAGTTCAGCAAAATGTTTTTAGAAACGAAGAGCAAAATATCACCTGGATACAATTGATTTTGTGGCTTTTAGTTTTGTGGTTTCGAGCCAATGTTTTATTTTTCTTTCTCTAATGGTTATCTCAGGGGGGAAATTGCCGGGTCTCCTTTGTGGTTTGTGTCCCTTTTCCCCGTTTTCTTTACATTTCCCCCATTGCAACGCACTTCCTTGGCTCTGGTTTATGCCTTTTCTTTTCAAATGCGAACTCGAATTGAGTCTCGAAAGTTGTGAATTCTGAGTTTAAATGAACTTGACCTTTGACGTTGAATTTAGACAAAGGAACTTTTTGCTCAATCTTTTGCAAGTTTCTGTTTTATCAATGGCTAGAATTTTGGCTAGAATTTTGCCTCTGTTCAATTACAGAAGACTGAAAAATTATCGAATCACTTAAAAAGGAGGAACTGAAAAAAAAAAAAATGGCTGTCAAAAAGAGCGTTTCGACACATTTTTGACTAAAATTGACTGGAATTTGTAGAAAAAACAAGCAAATTTACTAGAGATGCCCACAGATTGATTACCGCCTCCAGTCAAACGGCAACGCTCATTTTATTGGCAAAAATTTCCTGAATCCGAAAATGTATTGGGTTGGTGGAAAAGTTCTTTCCGATTTTTTGGGAGAGTACCTTAAATTTGTCGAATTTTGACGTTTTATAGCTCATCCTAAAGCTGAATTCAAGACGGATCGATTGGTAAAAACCGTTTTGAGATATCTCTTTTCTAAAAGTTTTTACAGCTATTTTAGTAAGGGGCGGCAGAGCCAAAAAATGGCTGTTTTCACGTTTCGTTAGTTTTCCGTGAAGAAACCTAGGCTAAAAACATGTGTTTCCTTCCCGAATTGGCATAGAAAGTGGATGGATCGTAGAAACCGGATTGTCGTTTCTTTCTCATCGAGTCATCCATATTCTCATCATCATCGTCTTGCATAAAATCCATTGCATCAAGAGCTCCCTAAAGCGAAATCTTTGAAGTCAGATCATCGTCTTTTTACTTGATGATCTCCACTCATCATCATTTCATTGATTTTCTTCATTCGATCTTTATGCAAGAACAATGGAGCCGGACATCCACCGAAGACTGAGGAGACTTTGCAGGCTTTCGCGTCATCACAATCGGCGTCAATTGGGCGAATTTCTTTCTTTCTGAAATAAACAGATTTAGATTTAGAAAGCTTAGAATTGTTTTAGAAAACTGAAATTGAGCCTGCAAGTCTTTTTAGTGCCAAAATTTCCCAAAGTACAACGAACAACTTGCTTATCGAAATGTTAAATCCGATTTAGATTCGGATATCCGATAGTTCTACAGTCTACAGAGTTTTACAACAATATTTACAACACTAAACATTAGTTTTAACAATTGCTGCATTGATAAAAAATGTTTTATCATGTTTTTAACAGTTTCTGATGCGTACTTGCACGTTTTTATACCAAAAACAAGAGCAGAAGCCATAGACACACTAAAACCGCGTAGCTTTTGCCGAATTTAACCATTTTTTAAAAAGTAAAACTATGCTGTTTTAGCTCTATCATTGATTGCGCTGAGAACTGAGCTTAAATTGCATTAAAAACTGATTTACCAAAGCAAGCAATTGTTAAAGCTTTTGTTGAGTCTAAATCGGATAACAATTATTGGCAAAAACGGGAAACATCTGTCATCGCACTATGCGCTAAACGTTAGCCTAATAGTTACTCAGCTTATTGTGCTTGAAAGATCTTGAAAGATGAAAGACAATTGTAAAGATTAAAGAGTAAAGATTAAAGATTGAAGAGTAAAGATTAAAGATTAAAGATTAAAGGTTAAAGATTAAAGGTTAAAGATTAAAGGTTAAAGATTAAAGATTGAAAGCTACAATTAATATCACAGTATACTGATACCATCTAAGCATCTAGGCATCTAGGTATTCAGGCTTCTAGGCTGAATATCTTTTCTTTCAATTGCGACTTTGTTACTGGTATATTTTGCAAAACAGTAACTGCAATGCAAGACAAAGTATGGACTTAAGATTATATCTAACTGTCAACTCTATAGCCTGTCATAATCTAAATCCCTCACTTGCACTGTTTCCCAGGTCGTGGACGTGGACGTGGGCGGGGTCTAGGTCTTGGGCGTCTCCCTTGTCCTCCTTGTCCTCCTTGTCCTCCTTGTCCTCCCTGTCCTCCTTGTCCTCCTTGTCCTCCTTGTCCTCCCAGATCTTCCATCGAACTCTCATCATCTTCCTCATCATCTTCCTCATCATCATTCATTCCAAAATCGAAATCCATTCCCATATCCATCTCATCATCATCATCATCATCCTCTTTTGTGGCATTTCTCGTTCGACATTTGAACGAATGTGTGCAATGACCGCATTTCGGTGGAGCGCCTCGTCGTTGATAGGCTGCTTGGATCACCGCATAGACTTCTTGAACTTTAGCATCGATGAACTAAAAGTATTGGGTAGATAATGGTGCTGCAAAGCTAGAATATCCCTTGAAGTATACAAAAATAATCGATTTAATAGATATTCAGTCGATTGAATATTTATTGAAGAATGTTAAAGGCATTAAAGAACTACAAATGGGCATTAAAAGCATTAAAGGTCTCAAAAATGAAATCTTGAGTTATGTATTGACTCAAGTCAATACCACAAACTCAAGCTCTCAAAAAGGCGCTTAAAAGCTAGAAACGCTCTCTAAAAGGCGCTAAAAACTAAAAACTTGTAGTGCGATTCTCTCTTCGATACGAATTCAATCAAGAGGTGCTTTACAATCATGGGATCAAAGGCGATTTGGACAAACCCAAGAAAGTCGTCAAGAACGAGGAGTTCTTTGGCCGGTTAACGATCAACAAAAATTAGTGTAGCTTAAACAAAAAATGCACAGTAACAAAAAAAATAGGATTGAAATATGGGGTTATGTTCGATTATAAACAGATTAGTGGTAAACAAGTTTTATCGATGATCCAACAAAGGAGTCAAATTGACTTACAAAAACAAACAATTCTATTTCAAATAAATGACGAATCAGATAGAAAATGGCGAAAAGGGCCCTTTCATAGCCTTTGGTTACAGTATGATAAAATGCGCACTCTTTGGAATGCGTTTTTAGCTTTTAATCGCCTTTTAGAGAGCTTGAGTTTGTGGTATTGACTTGGGTCAATACATAACTCAAGATTTCATTTTTGAGACTTAATCGGCTAGCCGAAGAAGTCTGAGACTTCTTCGGCTGAAATCCTTAATCGGCTACGACATATAGAAGATATAGAGAGCAAGATTCTGAAATCAAAAACCTTCATGATATGAATCCCGTGCTTTTCGAGCATTGTTGAAATAGGTGGATGAGCTGCATGGTCGGATCCAGTTACTTTATATCCCAATTCTCTAAAAGCATCAATCTGTAGTGTCATTTGTTCAAGTCTAGGCATGAAAACTGCTACAATTTTGTAACCAACTTCAAAATTAACATTGCTAAGAACAATAACTATAATTGTTGCCACTAACTTTGCCAAGAGAGCGATCGAGCCCATGAAGGTGCCACAAATGCCCAAAATATGTATGTGCATTGCAAGATTATCGAAATAAATTGAAATGCTAAATGAAAAAAAATGCCGAAAAAAGTGTGTGCCAACGTTTTTCATTTGATCTGCTTTCAAGGCCATTCATTCCATAAAATCATCAATCTTGACATTGCTATGATAGTCTATTTCAGCAAGAGTTGAAACTTTTCGATATTTTGATATTCGATATTTTATTATTTGATATTTTAATAGGTTGATGCATAAGTCTTTTCGTTTTTTTCGTACTTCTGTTAAAAAAGTAACAAATTCACCAATTAATCTATAGTTTGCTCTATAAAAAAGTGTTTTTTGTTCAATTTCCATCTTTTTAAATCAATTTCGGTTCACTTTCAAGCAAATTCGAGAGTGAAAAACGCCTTTTTCGTAGAAATCTATAAAAACTCTACGGAAAAATTGGCTGAATGAATTTCTCTGAAATTTTGGCGAAATATCAAACTTTTTTTTCTCTATCTTTTATCTATTGACACGAAGATAGGTTTTCTTTAGCTAAGGTGTCTAAACCGCATCATCGAGTTAGCCCTTTTTGACTACCCGACTTCATACTCTCAAGAAAATCCAGGCGTAAAATATTTTTAAACCCGTTTTAATGTTATTTTGCAGAAAAATAATTGGTTTTTCTAATGAAATCAACCGTAGTTTAATTGGTGCATTTGTTGGCTTGAAACGGCAGACGAAAAGGAACAAAAAGACTTATGCATCAACCTAATAATATTCGATATCAAGTAAACGAGTTTTTATGGTATTTGGAGATTTCAAAGTCATAAGTTTCCTCTCGGCTTTCTACATTTGGCGAAATTTGGCGCGAGGTTTTTGAATCGTAGTTGATGCCGGCTTTATCAAAACCTATTGATCTCATTTCCTTTTGATCATTTGATCAGTGACAAGGATTTCCTTCTGAATTTCATTCGCCAATTTTTCTGGAGGAACAACAAGCAAGATGTGATAGATCAAGTTAGTAATGAAACTTGATTACCGAATTTCAATCTTTAGCTGAATCTCCCGCCAAGAAATGCCAATCTGACCACTTTGGATTTTGCCCCGTTAGAGGAGAGGACTTACCAGATTGGACTTGAAGTAACAAAGCAAGCTTTAAGTAAGTAAAATAAGCAAATGGTGAAATGAACGTTTCTTCAACGTTCTCAAATTTCAGGTAGAGATCTTCGAACATCGACTATTGAGGAAAATCCGGAAACTCTCTTGAAAAATCTCAATCAAAAGCTGTTCACAAAAATTTGGAGTCGATTATGTTACGTAAGTTGACTATGAGAGTTATTTAACGATCATAAATTTCAGTTGAGAGCTTCAATTGTGACAGGGACTGGCGAAGGACTTGGCTTGGGTATAGTGCTGGGCAACAAGAGGGAGAATGCTAATGTCTTCTCACCGAGTCTCCTCTTTGCTCGCCTTCATCTCCGTGGCCGACGACATTTAATGGACAAGAATCGGACTCTGATCGCAAATCGGCATGGTAATTCACAAACAAATAAATATTTTATTGACTAGGTGTTCAATCTCAAAAATCTAGGCGAGAATTGCTAAAAATCAATTCAAATTTTACTTTCAGGACTCGCCGGGCTTCATTTTCTCTTTGGGAATCTCGATGAAGCATTCGAAGTCTACAAACAAGCTTGGGATGTAAGATATAAATCACTGAGATTAACCAAATTTCCTGGTGCGCCATAGTGCGCCAAAAGTTCTGTCACCTCACGTATAAAAAGCGTCAAATAAAAGGTTCCTAGAAAGATTCTATTTTTTAATAGTAACAAATTTATAAATAGGGAGTCTGGTCGCGGACGATTTGGCGGAATTTCAAGTATAAGAATTTTTTGAGACTATCCTCATTTTTAAAATAAGCTGAACAGCAAATAAATTTCAATAAGCAAATGTAATATAAGTTTTCTAGAAAGCCAGCATCAAACAATACTATTTTAATATCCATTTTGGGTAAAGTAATATTTGAAAATTCAGAATACAAATAGGGTACTAAATTTTCTAGCTCTCACAATTTTTTGCAGAATCATCTATACCATTAAAACTTGCTACTAGATGGTTTAAAAGTTCTATTAGGTTGATGCAAAAGTCTTTTTCATTTTTTTCGTACTTCTGTTAAAAAGTAACAAATTCACCAATTAATCTATAGTTTGCTCTATAAAAAAAGTGTTTTTTTGTTCAATTTCCATCTTTTTAAATCAATTTCGGTTCACTTTCAAGCAAATTCGAGAGTGAAAACGGGTTTTTCATAAAAATCTATAAAAACCTCTATAAAGAAATTGGCTGAATCAATTTCTCTGAAAATCTGAAAAAATATCTAACTTTTTGTGCTCTATCTTTTATTTATTAACATTAAGATTGGTTTCCTTAGCTAAAGCGTCTAAAATGCATCATCGAGCCGTCGCCTTTTTTGACTACCCGACTTCATACTCTCAAGAAAATCCAGGCATAAAATATTTTTAAACCCGTTTTAATGTTATTTTGCAGA